CTGGTAAGGTTTCAGGTGGGAATGAGGACTATGTTACTGGAAACTAGAGGAAAATGATCCTTGATACAAAGTGGCAAAGAACTTGGCTGAACAATGTTGCAGTGTTTTATGAAAAGTAGAACTTGCAAGCAATTAAATTGTATAAACATGTCTGAGATTTCTAAGTAAAGTGTTGATGGAATGAATTGGTTCACCCTATTTATAGTAAAATACGGCAAGATGGATATGAATTGAAGGCAGATTATCAAGCAAAAAGGAAGCAGAACATAAAGATTTTCCTATCTTGTACTGCAAAAAAAAATTATGAAGTGTGTTGTAAAGAGCGTATCAAAGTTGTGGCTGGATTATTCATTGATAAAGAGTTGTGGAGTTACATGAACAGAAGAAATGCCAGTTTGAAACGAAGTTGTATAAGATGGGATGAAGTGAAGTCATAGACTTCTCAGATTCTACAGGGTAGGACCACAGAGCTTCTTAGTTTTCTTTGAGAAATGGAAAAGTTACTCTGAGGTTGATCCAGAGATAGGGAATGCCTTTCCTACCATGTGCCCATAGGCAAGATGGTTTTCTTCTTGACTTCAGAAGAAGGGACCTGACAGAGAGCTGTGGGATGTGGCCCTGGCAGAGTGCTTCAAGGATGGGGCCCTCTGCAGCAGCGGTGGGTGCAGGCCTCTTTCAGACAGTGAAAGGGATAAGGTACCTGTTTTAAAGCCATGGGGATGACACTGCCACCCTAGAGGACTTCAGTAGTGGGCTACCAAGCCAAGGAGGATTATTCTCAAACTTAAGGTCTAATGGATTTGTTTCCCTATGTTTGGACTTGCTTGGGGCCATTCACCACCTTCATCCAGTTTCTTTTTTTTTGGGGGGGGGGGAACAGAACTATTTACCTAAGCCTGATTAACCATTGCATTTTGGATGTTTTTAAAGGGTGATGCTGGAATTAATGAAGACTTTCTGGGGATGGGATTGTTAGGACAGGATGAATGTATTTGCAAGTACAAAGGACAAGAATCTTGGGGGCTCAGGGAAAGAATAGTATGACTTTAATATTTGTGCCCTCCTTAAGTTTATATGTTAAAAATCTAATCCCCAGTGTCATTGTATTTGGAGATGGGATCAGTGAGGGGTGATAAAGATTAAATGAGGTCATAAATGGGGGGCTTACTCCAATAAGGCAGATGACTTTCTAAGAAAAAGGAAGACACCAGAGTTCTCTCTCTTTCTCTGTTTCTTCTTTCTCTCTCTCCTTCTCTCTCTCTCTCTCTCTCTCTTCTTCCCTCCCTCCCTCCCTTCCTCCATATCTCTCTCTGCTATGAACAAACAACATAGCAAGATGGCACCATTTAAAGACCAGGAAGAGAGCACTCATTAGAAACCAAACTGGCTAGCACCTTGATCTTGGATTTCCCAGCCTCAAGAACAGGGAGAAATAAATTCTTGTTGTTAGAGCCACTTAATTTGTGGCATTTAGTTATTGGAGTCTGAGTGGACTAAGACAGTATCCGCTGCAATGATTTGAGAAACTCCAAATAGTCCAAAGGTAATGGAATAGCAGAGCACAGGACTACTGCCCTTTCAAGATCCCTGTGAAGACTACTCATTTTTCACCTTCAGAATTGGCAATAGTAGCAGTGATCTGTAGATGGAATTGGAAATTGAGTGTTCTAGTATAACCCTGCTGCATAATTCTTATTTCAGGTTGATTAACAAACAAAGCATGAAGACCTCAATAACATGAACTATTCTTTTGCTTGCTGTGATTAAAAACATTAATTTGTGCATAAAAAAGATTGATTTGAAAGGCAGAGTGACAGAGAGAGTGAGAGATTTTCAGTCTGCTGTTTTAATCTCCACATGTGTGCAATAGCTGGCACTGGACCAAGCTGAAATCAGGAGTCAAGAATTCCATCTGGGTCTCTCACAGGGACAGCAGAAACCCAAGTATTTGGGCCACAATCTGCTACCTCCCAGATGCCTTATCAGGAAGCCAAATGGGATATGTGAAGTAGTGGGACTCCCATCTCAGGCACTCCAGTGTTAGATGTGGGTATCCCAAGTGTGGGATTATCCTGCTCTGCCACAACACTCACCTTTCAGTTTGTCTTTAAAAGGCTCTGAATTTCAGGTTATTTAAATAATAACTATAGCTGGATCTGCTGAAGTAAAACTTTACAACTACACAAGGAATCCATGAACACAAAGCAATCAGGTAACTTGCAGAAGTGAGGAGAAGCTGAAGGGTTGCTAATTTCCTGTCAGCACATTGTGGAGAAGGTGTCCACATCAAGTAAAATCAGCAATTTAGTGCTGCACAAAAGTCATGTGCAATCTGTTCAATTGTTAAGCTCAAACAACAGCCTCTTTCCAACTCTTCATTAGCTAGCCTGGTACATATGAAGAAAATTTGGCTAAGATGTTTAAGAGGTGGAGGGAAAGAATGACCAAAGACATGGGACACAAGGAGAGGGCTAGGTAAACAATCAGAATCAGTTCAGAAAAGTCATGTGGCAATAACATATCTCCTACAAAGGTGTTTTACAGTCTGTTCCCTGTTATGCTTGAAAAAAATGGAAATGTTGAATTTGAGGGAATTTGGGTTAGAAACAAGAGGAACTTCTTTCAATACAAGTGATAATATCTACTTACAAAATAAATGTGTGGGGCCGGCGCTGTGGCGCAGTGGGTTAAAGCCCTGGACTGAAGCGCCAGCATCCCTTATGGGTGCCAGTTATAGTCCTGGCTGCTCCTCTTCCAATCCAGCTCTCTACTATGGTCTGGAAAAGCAGTAGAAGATGACCCAGGTCCTTGGGCCCCTGCATCCTTGTGGGAGACCTGGAAGAAGCTCCTGGCTCATGGCTTCGGATTGGCACAGCTCTGGCCATTGCGGCCATCTGAGGAGTGAACCAGTGGATGGAAGACCTCTCTCTCTGTCTCTATCTCTCTCTGGAACTCTGTCTTTCAAATAAATAAAATCTTTAAAAAAAATAAATGTGTGGGCATTGGAATATTGAAAAAGAGTTTCTTTTGAGTCTTAAGGCTTGTTGTGACCCCAGCACTATCCATCTGGCCTTAAAGCTCTGGAATGACCAGTCAGAATGGTCATTGATCAAATAGACAAACTGCTCTTGTTCCTGCTAAGTAGATAATTACAGATATTTTCAACCAGGTGCCCCAGAACCAATTTTTGTTTTAGCTCTCAAGAAACATTAATTAGTAGTGTACACATGAGTCTGAATTATACCATTTAAATTTCCAACTGATGAGTATGTAAATCAAATTAAGCCTAGTGTTCAATAAAAGTGGTCAATAATTCTATGTGAAGTCACCTGAAAGGATTTGGATAAGGCTTGCCTGGAGACAGAAGATTAGAATCAACCTGCTCTGCCAACTCTAGCAGCCTCATGGTGTCATAGTTTGTAGGCTGGTTTACAAAACAAATAACACTGTAGTTTTCTGTAAAGAATAATTTCGAGAGATATATTATATCATAGTGAATGTTAAGAATTATTCTATTACCAATCTTTTTATCATAAGCAAATAACAGAGACTTTATGGAAGGGAAAAATAAAGAAAGCAAAGTCACCAAAATTTAATATTCAAGACTGCTATCCATCTAAAAGAAAGATTTAAAACTGGCTATTTTATTTGCATATTGTGGTAGCTTTGTAATGTGTCAGTCTGACTAGGCTGAAATACATGTCCAAGAATTTACTCTGTAGACTTCTGGCTGATGACTCACAAGGGATATTCTTGGGAGATTTAGAGCATGGAAGAGGAATAGCAGCCATGTATAGCTAGCTCAGCCTCACTGTTGCTGGGATGCTGACTCAATTTGCCAGCTTGAAACAACACGAGGGTCTGCCTCTGCTTTCTTTCTCTCTGGATACATCTTCCCCTTCTCTAACCACTGGTCTGAGTCTGTTTCTACATCTCCACAAGAAAAGTCTTTGGATACCGTAGGATGTGACCTTACCAATGCCAGCAGCAGTAAGAAGGGACACAAAGTGTGTCTAGTGTGCTTCACATCTGGTTCTTCTTCTTTTTTATTCATTGGAAAGAGTTATGGAGAGAGGGTGAGAGATAGAGACAGCGAGAGACAGAGAGAGAGACAGAGACAGAGAGACAGAGAGAGAGAGAGATAAAGAGCAAGAGATCTTTCATCTTCTGGTTCACTCTGCAAATGGCCACAACATCCAGGGCTGGGCCAGGCTGAAGCCAGGAGGCAGAAACTCTATCCAGGTCTCCCACATTGGTACAGGGACTCAAGTACTTGGGCCATCTTCCACTGCTTTCCCAGGTACATTAGCTGGATTGCAAGCAGAGCAGCTGGAACTTGGTGCCCAAATGGGATGGCATTACAGGTGGCTTAACACACTGTGCCATAATTTTGCCCCTCTTGCCCTTGACCCCCACCATGTAGCTCTGTGTGCTTGATTTCCAGCTTGGTTTTTGTTCTCCACACACTGTGACTGTCTTAAGTCATTCTGACTTCTATAACAAACTGCTCTACTGTGTGCACCTTGTCAACAGCAGAAATTTATTTTCTCCTAGTTCTGGAAGCTGAAGAGTCCAAGATCACAGTGCCAACAAATTCAGTGCTGGTGAGGGTTTTCTTCCTGGATATGGATGATATCTTCTTACTGTGTCCTCACATGGTGGAAGCGGACAAGGTGTTCTCTGGGGGCTCCTTTACAAGGGCACTAATTACATTTGCAAGGACTCCCTCTTTATTACCTTATCACTGGCCATAGATTAGCCAGGCAGACCACAAATCTATATGTCAGAGCTACCCACGATCCAGCCCACTCCAACACTACAATGTGTACACAATGCCAGATTTGGTGCTTTAGGAGTTAGTGTCTGTCCCATTGAATTTCAGTCTTGCTTTGGCCCAATCACTCCTTCTGCATGTCTATTCTTCCCTTTTAGAATGGGAATATTTACTTTGTACCTATCCCACCATTGTCTAATGGAAGTATATAACCTGTTTTTCTTACCTTGCAAGGACTCACAACTGTGGGTTTGCCTTGAATCTCAGAGAAGACGTTGGACTTTGACTACTAAGCCGTTCTGGAATGAGTTAAAATTTTGGAACTCTTGGAGATGGAGTGAATGCATTTTCACTGTGAGGAGAACATCAGTCTTGGGAGGGCCAGGGGGTAGACTGTTGTAGCTTGAGTGTTGTTACTCAATGGTTCATGGGTTGGGAGCTTGGTTTTTAGTTTGTGGTGAGGATTCTGAAAAGTGGGCATAGAAAGAAGTTCCTGGGAGATTAGACATGTTCTTGCAAGGGATTGTGGGATTACAGTCTCAGTCTGGCTTCTTGTTCTGCAATATACTCCCTGGGTATATGATTGATCCTTTCACATGTGCTCCCACCATTGCCATCCACCATTACCATGAAGTGACTCAGTCCAGGGGGGTGGGGTCCTCATTAGAGCCTGTAGTGCTGTTTGAACTTCTAACCTCCACAACTGTCATCTAGGTAGACCTCTTTTCTTTATAAAATTACCCTGTTGTGGGGTTTTTCTAGTAGCAATGCAAAACAGACTAAATGCCTCCAAAAAGTCCAACTGTCTAATACTATCAAGTAGAGATTAGAATTTCAGTAGGTGAATTTTTGAAAAGACACAAATATCCAATCTTTAGCAGTAACCACATTTCCTCATGACTGCCTGCCTTCTGCACTTCAAGCACCAGCCTCAGACTTGCAGACAGCAGCCTTGTTGAAGCTGCTTAACCATCTCCCACAGTTGTGAGACCCATTTATGCACACACCTATGCATAAATCTCTTTATGACTTTGCTTCTCTGGTTGAGTCCTGACTGGTGTGCATGATAAAATGAGCTCAAGAAGGTTAGATGCCAGGGGAACATTTAGTGAAATGAGTAAATGCCTCTACTAAGATTAGAAATGTGCAGTCAATAGAATACCAGATCACTCCATAATCAGATCACTTCCTTAAACTTCACTGAAGCCAAACTAGAGAGATGAACTGATTCAGAAAACTTTAACCATACCCAAGGTCACATTATACTAGCTTTTAAATATTGATAGAGAAACACTCCCTTCTCATACATAGGGAAAACAGAAGTTCAAGAGCTTAAGTAAACTTGAGCCTCTGGCTGTGTTAGGAGGGAGTTCAAGATTGAAGTTTTATAATAACCATATGGTTCCAGTTAGAGTTGGATGGAGAGAGGAAAGCTGTGATGGTTATCAAACTGTCTTTCTGGACTCCAATGGAAGGAAATGACATATACAGGGTATGGCAGATACCATATTGATTTCATTCTAAACTATAGGCAACAGTGACTTCCCACCCAGTGTATAACTGAAAATCAAGCAGAGAATAATGTCATCTATGTAAGTCATGATGTGTTTACATGCACTTTTACATATACACATAAAATAAAAGCTAACACATTTATAACACTTTATATTATCTCAAGTATCAATATAAAGTGTGACCAGGGAATCACAGTACAGCTATTTATCAGAGAGGAAAGTAAGGAAAAGTGGGATCACCCTGAGGTATGTGGCAGAGCAAGAGCTTGGTAGTCAATGCAGTCCAGCTTTAGGGCATCTGTGTCTATCAACTCTACTATGTTGTCTCTTGCAAGTATATAATCTACATGTGTATGTAGGTATGCAAAGCTGACCTTCATAGTTCTTCATAATCTGGCTAAAAATGGCTTTTTCAACTCCATCTTTCTCCTCTCTGTTACATGTCCCTTATGTTCCAGCAGAACTTGGAACTTCACTGACATCATAAATAAGAGTGTCAATTGTTAAATCAACAACAGGAGTCACTGTGCACTTGCTCCTTATGTAAGACCTCTGTCCTTAATGAGTTGTACTATGAGAATTAGTGGTAACACTTGTCTTCAAACAGTGCTTTATACTTTTTGTGTCTGTGTGGGTGTAAACTGTTGAAATCTTTACTTAGTATAGGGTAGGTCTTCTGTATATAAAGATAATTAAAAATGAATCTTAATGAAGAATGGGATGGAAGAGGGAGTAGGAGGTGGGACAGGAGTGGGGGTGGGAGGGTTGATATAGGGGGAAGAACCACTTTATTCCTAAAGCTGTACCTCTTAAATTTATATTTATTAAATAAAAGCTCTCTAGAAAATAAATAAAAAACTTGGATCTTCCCATAACTTATTATTTTGTTTTTTATTATAACATAGATGAACCCAAATTAATTCAATCTGGCCAAGATACCAGCCTAAATTACTAAACCCTCCCAATTCTTTCTTTTCTTTGCAACTTTATTAATGATTTCTTTCTTTCTGGGATGCCTCAATTTATCCCTCCACTAATCCACTCCATGCAGCTGTTATTTCTTGAAACTCTACCCATTTATTATGTTCTTATTCTAATGGCACCTTCTTTGAGATGTATTCTCTGGGTTCCAACAAGATACAGTATTTCCACTCTCTGGTTGTTCATAAGCGAGTATTTTATGAATCATAGCATCATGCTGTGACTTGCATACTTGTTTTATTGGCATAGAGCTACATCACAAATTTCAGCAATAATTAAATATCTATCTCAATACACTGGTATTACACCATTTCAGTCTGCTGTTGCTCACTGCCTCTGGTAGCTATCATACTGACAAAAACAAATTTGGAGTGCCATAGAGTAGTCTTTCTACAGGAAGCCTCCCCTGTCTGTGTTCCTGTGAATAGATGTCATCACTGTAGAGCCTGATTAGATTTTCTTTATACCATTTCACCATCTTCATGTCTTCTCTGTAGATATTCCCAGATAATAATACCTACTATAACTCCTGTTGCTGGCCAAGCATTTTACTGATACCTGTACTATACATTTATCACACTTTAATAGTCCCTTAATTACAGTATCTATTCTCCAGTAAAGAATGATTTCCTTGAAACTAGGAACACACTGTATTCATTTCTGCATGCATCATGAGTCTTGGAACAGTACACTGTGTATAAGAGATGCTTACTATATTCTTTAACTTAACATAAACTGTCTTCAGGAATAATCTGCATAAGATTAAATAACCAATTATATGTACACTTTGATGAGTTTTGAAAAAAGAACGTTCATTCATCTCCTGTCAAGACATACAACATTTCCGTCACTCATTGGCTTAACAAAGCAGGGAGGAGGATACTGAGAAAGCTTGGTGCTAAGTAGAAATTTATTGTTGACATTACTTAGAATTTCTAGTATGTAGTTATTTTGAAAATCCAGCTTCTTGGTTGACTCTATTCTTGTCTTAAAGTCCATCCAGATAAAATACCCCTTTTATTGCCTGTACCACATGTAGGCCACTAGTCCTGCTATCTTTGAACGCAATTGCCATCATCCTTGTTGCTTTGCAGGTCACATTACCAACTTTCACCCTGGGGAACTACCTACCTCCTTTTGGCAATGATAGCTTATGCTTTGCTGTTCTAATATTTTATAGGAATTAAATCATATAGGACATACTCTTTAGTGTATGGCTTATTTTATTCCCTATAATGTTTTCACCATTCATTCATATTCTGTGTACATTAACACAAGATGAGCATCTCTAATCTAAAAATCTGATAGCTGCTCTAAAATCGAAAATATTTTGAGAAGCAATATGACCCTACAAATGGAAAATTCCACATATGACCTCATGACGTCACAATCGAAACAACAAATTATTTAAAAATAACATATAGAGCTGGCGCCGCGGCTCACTAGGCTAATCCTCCACCTGCGGCACCGGCACTCTGGGTTATAGTCCCGGTTGGGGCGCCAGATTCTGTCCCGGTTGCTCCTCTTCCAGTCCAGCTCTCTGCTGTGGCCCGGAGGTGCAGTGGATGATGGCCCAAGTGCTTGGGCCCTGCACCCGCATGGGAGACCAGGAGGAAGCACCTGGCTCCTGGCTTCAGATCGGCGCAGTGCGCTGGCCGTAGCGGCCACTGGGGGATGAACCAACGGAAGGAAGCCCTTTCTCTCTATCTCTCTCTCTCACTGTCTAACTCTATCTGTCAAAAACACACACACACACACACACACACACACACAGACAAAACATATAGAATTAACCTTTGGCAATGGTACTAGGTGGGTATGAAACATAAGAAAATTTTGTGTTTAGATATGGTTTCTATCCCTGACATTTCAATAGGTACACGTGAATATTACAAAATCTGAGAAAACTTGAAATCTGAAATACTCCTAATCCTAATTGTTCCAGAGAAGCATTACTCATCCTTTACTTACTCTTCAGTGCTGACTCGTCTATGGACAGCACTTGGAAATGTGTTGTTTTCCAGGTTAATTTCAGAATTTGATCTCTTATTTTTCTAAAGTGGATGCTCTTGAGTTTACAAAATGACAGTGTAACTTATAGTTTATCTTCATTTAGCATCACATATTTTGCATATATTGTAAGAACATCAGAAGATTATATTTTTAAATGTTCTCACATATTCTTTGTGCTGTCCTGTACTCTCCTTCTATGTATGCTGTAAGTGCTACAGTCCATTTTTATTTTTCTTTAGACAATTACTTTTCAAAGAAATTTTAACACAAGGTGTAAATGCATTAGATAATTGTCACATATTTATCTTTTTTATGCTTTTCCTCTGTGTAGATGAGAATTTCCATCTGGTATCATTTTCCATTCATTTGAAGAAGTTCCTTTAGTATTTTTTGTGGTGAAGGCTTCCAGGTGATAAGTGACAAGTTCTTAAGCTTTTTTTTTAATTTTGAAATTTCTTCATTTTGTCTTCAATTTTTAAGAATATTTCCACTCAGCATAGAATTCTAGCAACCAGAGTTGTGCCACAGCAGATTAAGCTGCCACCTGCAGAGCTGGCAGCTCTATGAGCACAAGTTTGAGTCTTGGTTGCTCTACTTCCAATTAATCTCCCTGCTAACATGCCTGAGAAAGTAGCGGAAGATGGCTCAAGAACTTGAGTCCGTGCCACCCTCATGGGAGACCTGGATGAAGCTCCTGACTCCTGGCTTCAACATGGCAGAGCCCCAGCTGTGGTGGACATTTGGGGAGTGACAAGCAAATGGAAGATCACTCTCTATGTCTCTTTCTCTCCCTCTCTGTGTAACTCTGCCTTTCAGTTAAATAATTTTTTTTTAAAAGAATAGAATTCTAGGTTGACAATTTTCTTTTTCTTTTGCCCCCCCCCTTTTTTTTGACAGGCAGAGTGGACAGTGAGAGAGAGAGACAGAGAGAAAGGTCTTCCTTTTCCATTGGTTCACCCCTCAATAGCCCCTGCGGCCAGCACACCGCGCTGATCTGAAGCCAGGAGCCAGGTGCTTATCCTGGTATCCCCTGTGGGTGCAGGGCCCAAGGACCTGAGCTATCTTCCACTGCACTCCCAGGCCACAGCAGAGAGCTGGG